TAGAGACACTGGTAGGAGATTGGAATGCGAGAGAAAGGAGGAAGGTTTTCCTTTTCTGTGGAGGCATCTCAGATGCTTGCAGCAAAGGTACAAGATGGTGGCAAAGGGCAAGGGTGACTTCCTGCTTAGGAGTGGGATTTTAACGGAAATAGTAGGAGCAGCACCCTGCTCTGGCTCCTGCAGTTGGGGCAGCGGCTCCAGGAACCTCTGCTGTGCAGGGCTTGTGGCCTTCGCTCCTTTGGCTGTGGCTACGGTTGGACACCTGCAGAGTCATCTGGAGAGTTAGCTCCAGGCTTCCTGCCTGTTGCTGGTGTTCCAACATCAGCAGCCTGAGGGGCAGTGATGTCAGGCTCTATTTTCTCTTTCACTCTTCCTGCCCTATGGGTGGGATTAGTTTCCTGCAGTTATTAATCTCTAGGTAACCACACGGTTTTCCTTTTTGCTCTTAATTTATGCTTCCAATATATTTATAACTAGTTTTCTGTGTTGAATTCTCTGTTTCAAATAATTTGAATGGATACTGTTTTTGTGATTAAATACTTACTGACACAAAGTATCTATAACTCATTATTTATAGCTGGTGTGATTTTTTTTAACCTATATACCCAAGAGATTCAATGTAGAAGCTAAATGAGCTAAGAATGCAATAAGGGATCAAATACAAAATAAACATACAAAATTTAATAGCTCTCTTATAAACAATATAGAAAAAGAGTCTGTCCCCCCAAAGAGCCCATTCACAACAGTATAAGAAATTGTTAAAAGATTTAATAAACCTAACAAGAAATGCGTACAATTATATGAAGAAAATCTTTAGAACTATAGTGCAGCACATATAATTAAACTTATATGAATGAAGAAATAAAGCATGTCTATGGTGATCTTCACATGTTGGTACATTAGCAGGGGGATGGCTAAATAAACCACAATTCATCCATATTTTGGAATGCATAGGTTACAAGACTGAAGGAATGAACTGGGCCCATGTAGAAAGATATCCAAGACATATTGAATATTTTTTAAAAAGCAAAAATCGGTATAGTATTTGTAAATTTATTTTCAAAAACCCAAACAAACTTTCTGATGCTTGGTACACATATATGTTTTATGTTCTGTAAATCCATAGAAAATGGGTAACACAGTAATAAGCATATTCTTTGGGCAGGGAGATTAGACTGTGGGGTGAAAGGAAACTTTAACTTTTTATTCTATATATTCTTGTATTTTCAAACATTTCTTACAGCAAATAGTCTTGATAATTATGTAACTTTAAGAAATGGCCAAGAGTAAGAAGATAAGTCACAAAATGGGAGAAAATATTTGCAAAAGACACATCTGATAAAGGATTGTTATCCAAACATACAAAGAACTTTAAAACTCAGAAATAAAACAAAAACCTGGTAAAAAAGAAGAGGGCAAAAGACTTGAGCAGACACCTCATCAAAGAGGATATCAAATGAACATAAGAAAAGATGCTCCATATCATATGCCATCAGGGAAATGGAAATTAAAAGAATAATGAGATACCACTACACACCTATTAAAATGATGAAAATCCAAAACACAACACCAAATACCGGTGACGATGTGGAGTAATAGCAACTCTCACTCATTGCTCGTAGGAACGCAAAATAGTACAGCCAGTCTGGAAGACGGTTTGGTGGTTTCTTACAAAACTAAACATACTCTTACCATATGATACCTAAATCACAGTCTTTGGTGTATATATACCCAAAGAGTTGAAAATTTATGTCCACACAAAACCTGCACATGGATATTTATAGCAGCTTTATTCATAATTGCCAAAACTTGAAAGCAACCAAGATGTCCTTCAATAGGTGAATGAATTGATAAACTGTGGTACATCCAGACAACGGAATATTATTCAGCACTTCAACTATACTTCCAAAAGAAAAAAGTCATCTATACATCAATTAAAAGACATTATTCAGTGCTAAAAAAAAAAAAAAAAAAAAAAAAAAAAAAAAAAAAAAGAGCTATCAAGCCCTGAAAAGACATGGAAGAATCTTAAATGTACATTACCAAGTGAAAAAAGCTGATCTGAAAAAGCTATATACTTAATGATTTCAACTTTATGATGTTCTGGAAAAGGCAAAAATGTGGTGACAGTTGAAAGATCAGTAGATGTCAGGGATTGTGGAGAGGGTGGGATGAATTTGCAGATCACAGAGAATCTGTAAAACAGTGAAAGTCTTCTGTACAATACTATAATGGTGGGCATATGTCACTATCCCTTTGTCAAAACCCATAGAATGTGTAACACCCAGAGTGAACCCCAAGGTAAACTATGGACTTTGGTTGATAGTGATGGTGGTGAGTCAACATAGGCTCATCAATTCTAATAATTGTACCACTGGGGGAGGTGGTGGGGGAGACTGTGTGTGGGGAGAGGAGGCATGTATATGAGAACTCTATGTATTTTCTGCTCAATTTTACCATGAACCTAAAACTGGTCTAATAAAAGTCCTGAAAAAGAAAATCCCCTGTACTTCACTTATGCAACTCTCCACCTGGATAATCTTGGCAAATATTGATCTGTTTAAAATGTTTTTTATTTATTTTCAACTTTTATTTATTTTTATTTTTTAATGTTTATTTTTGAGAGGATGCATGTGCACATGTGCAAGTGGGGGAGGGGCAAGAGAGAGGGGGACAGAGGATCCGAGGTGGGGCAGCAGAAAACTCAATGTGGGGCTTGAACCCATATAATCTGAGATCATGACCTGAACCAAAGTCGGATGCTTAACTGAGTCACCCAGGCGCCCGTTTGAAATTTTTTAATTTTAAAAATATTGTTAAAAAGTTTTAGGGCTATAGGTGGCACCTGGCTTAGTTGGAAAAGCATACAACTCTTGATCTCCGGGCTGTGAGTTTGAGCCCCATGTTTGGTGTAGAGATTACTTAAACCTTAAGAAAAAAGTTTTAGAGTTTTATAAATTGATTGGACTTTTATAGATAGTAGGTAATTTTTTTAAGAAATGAGTGTCTTCGACCTTAAAGCAGTTACATTTGTTATTAGTAATCATACCTGCAACTCACAGATGTGGAACCTATTAAAGTACCAGTAACATCTCAATTTGTAGTGGGGGAAAAAAAGGCAAGTGAAGAAAAATCCAGAAAGGCTAAGTCATTTCTCCATCTGCCTCTGCATGTTTCTGTGCAATCCATCAGGGGACAGCTGGGATTAATTATTTTGAAAACTTTCTAGCTTTCTAATCACACCATGCCCTACATTCTTGTCAATTCTGGCCAGAATAAAAAATATAAACCCTTTCTTGCAGGCTCATTTAAAAACATTTTTTTTTCTCTTTTCATTCCCCCAACCTAATATTCTGGTTTCCAATCCTAACTTTACCACTAAGCCCTCTGGAATGCCTGATAAACAAAATACCCTAAATCAGTAAACTGAATACAGGTATCCTTTGCTTTTTGAAAGTTGATGTTACACCACTTTGCTTTTACGCAAGACCTACATTAGTACCTGTTTTTGCTAACAGAAAAAAAAATCTAAAGCGGTTTTTCACTTTTCAGAAAGCGGTGAAGAGCAAAACTATCAGTGTTTATTTTGCAGCTGGCTGTTTTAGAAGTGGCACTAAAGGTGAGCATCAGTGGCGCTGCCGAGCTCCTTCCCTAGGAATTACACAGCATCTGAGCACCAAGCAGCCAGACCTGTGAACTGTGCCTGTGAGTATTTGTGCCTTATGCTGACTTGTGTATCCATTAACAAGATGTGTGGTAAGGTATCAGAAAAGCCTATATCACTTATTGAGTCTGGGAACTCTCAAAAAAACCTTCCATGTACATTTATGGTAATTGGTTCTTCCCTTCATGCCATTTCAGCTTAGAAAAGGTTTCATTGGAATGCACTATTTTCAGCTAGGCAAGGGAAATTTGCATCTCTCTACTTCCTGGGTTTGACAGAATCTTCGATTTGAGGGCTCTTCTTCACTGGCCTCTTCTCAGGTTTTTTTTTTTTTTTTTCTCTTGACTTATTTCTTTATTGGGAACTCTGGCTGCAGGTTCCCCAGTCTTTCAGTTCATTTCGGATCCTGCCATTCATTTTCCTAGATGACTTCAACTTTCTAGTTTCTTCATGAATATATACTCACGATTTTTTTTTTTTTTTTTTTTTTTTTTTTTTTTGAGAGAGAGAGAGAGGCAGAGAAAGAGAATCCTAATCAAGCTCCAAGTCCAGCCGGAACCCAATAGCCCAACTGTGGGGATCCATCCCACAACCCTGAGATCAGAACCTGAGCCAAAAGCAAGAGTCCAATGCTTACTCCACTGAGCCACCCAGGCTCCCCTCTTTATGAAGAACTTTCTAATTTCTATTATCTCACTGCCCACATCTTGGTACTTGACACTACCAAGCCTGTTCTACCTGTGAAATCTTTAAACATTTTGACTTCGGATCCTTCCCTTTTCTGTCCCTCACACCTGCTCTTCCACCTCCATAACCCCCCAGTTTTTCCCTGTCAATCCTATTCCCCCGGTCTTTACTTTTCGGCTGAGCCTGTACTCCTCTGGTGACTCTCCACCCTTCATTGCTCCTTAGTTGTCCCAGCAAAGTTCCTTTTCTTCTCCACTTCTTCCGAGCATTCAGCCCGTGTTTGAGGGCGGTGGGGAATGACGCTGACCAATACTGACTCAGGGCCCAGGACTGTAGATGGTGTTTCTAATTTTCTTAGTTTTCCCAATTATCATACTTCAACAATGAATTCCTTTAATTTTCATTACAGCTCAGGAAAGGGGACTCTCTCCTAAGCCCTTGCCGCGGTTAGACTCAGGAAACCGCAGGCGCAGTCGTCCTCGCCCTGGCCTCGCGGGGCATGACGGGCAAAGGGGTGGGGCACGGCGCGGGGGCGCGGGTGGCTCGCGCTGTGCGCGCCCCGGCGGCGGCGTGGTCCTGGTGGGCTGCGGTCCGCGCGCTGCCGCGGCCGCCCTCTTCGGAGGTGGGAGGGGCAGACGGAGCAGGCGCGGGCCCGGCGGAAGCCATGTTTGTGGCGCGCAGTATCGCGGCGGACCATAAGGATCTCATCCATGATGTCTCTTTCGACTTCCACGGGCGACGGATGGCTACCTGCTCCAGTGACCAGAGCGTCAAGGTGCGCGAGGAGCTTTTGGGTGGGGCCGAGCCCAGAAGGAGGGGGAGTGGGGACTTGCATGACCCGCTGTTAGAGCGGAGGGAACGGCGCGTGGAAAGGGGACTACCCCGGATTTTGAGGCACGCCGTTGGACACGAGGTCTGGAACCCAAGGAGTGTGGGCGGCTGGGCTGCTCCGCCGTGCTTGCCCCAGTATTGTGGGGTCACAGCCGCTCCCCCGCTCTCACTCTGCTCTGCGCTTGCGCGGAGGGGGAGGGCGGGCAGGCGTCTTAGCCACGTGCGCGCTCCCGCCAGTGGGGCCCTGGGCAGCACGCGGGTTCTACCTCCTGCAGGTTTGGGTCATTGTGGGCGAGAGCTAGAGATTCGGCTTAGTCTGCGAGAAGAATTTGTCAGACTGCGCGGGTGGGGGAGTACTTGTCCTGTTACCACACTGGTTCAGCCAGAGGCTTTTGCCTCGCCACCTGTAATGCAGTCGGTTCAACGTGTTGTCTCAAGTGCTGTGATGAGCTTGTTGCTCATCTTGAGATTGTTCTCTCCTTGCGTTCATATAGGAAACAAATCCATTTATATCCAATGAAGTTCTCTACTTGCTATTAAAGAAATGGAGTGCTTGTTTCATACAGTTCATGTAAGTGTCTGCGCTACTTTGACCAGAATTTTCTGTGATAAGAGGATGGTCTTTGGGATTTAAGAATTTAGATTTAAGAACGTTACCGACAATAGACTTGGAGATGAAAGCTGGAGTTCGGATTATTTGCATTTTCGACAACTCCAAAATAACTGAAAATCTGAAGGATAGTTTTTATTACTTGCCTTTCACATGAGTCAAGTTTGATACCAGTGATCCTTCAATGATGAATTACAGCTGGTGTTCCCTTTCGAAAAAGTGGTGTCACCAAATACATGGAATAACTATAGCGTTCTAATTCCTAAAAGGTTTAAAATCACTTAATTTTTTTTTTTTTTTTTTTTTTTTTTTTTTATTGTGGCAAGCTAACCGTCTTTAGATCTACATTACATTTCAGTGGCCTTAAGCATAACATTCATGTTGTGCAGCCGTCACCACTATACATCTCTGGAACTTTTTCATCATTCTAAAGTAAAACTCTACTCAATAACTCCTTTTTCTACCCTGCCCCAGTCCCTGGTCACTTCTAATACTCTTCCTTTTTTTTTTTTTTTTAACGTTTACTTATTTATTTTGAGAGAGAGAACAAGTGGGAGAGGAGCAGAGAGAGAGGGAGAATCCCAAGCAGGCTCCATGCTCAGCGTAGAACTGGACATGGGGATCGATCTCATGACCCCTGAGAGCATGACTTGAGCCGAAATTAAGAGTCAGGAGCCCAACTGACTGAGCCACTCAGGTGCCCCTCTAATACTCTTTCTTTATAAATTTGACTCTGCTGGGTATCTCGTATAAATGTAACCATATAGTATTTGCCCTTTTGTGTTTGGTTCATTTCACTTACCATGATGTTTTCAAGGTTCATCCATATTTGTAGTATGTATTGTAATTTTATTAAGATTGAATGATAATTTTGTTGTATGTGTACACATTTTCTTTAGACATTCATCTATCCACCTGTTGTTGAATATTGCAGTAATTAATGTCTGTTAACTGAATAGGTCATAGATTTTTTTTCCTCATCCACTTATTACTGAATCTCTAAATCTTTCCGTTTGTAGGTTTTGTTTTTTGGAAGTAGTATTGCAATGGAAATCTTCATTACTTTAAGCTTTTTGTGTTTTGAATGATTTCCTTAGCCTAATTCAAGTAGAGAAATTAGTGAATATTTTAAAAGCTTTTGTGAATAATTGGCAGATTGTCTTTTTGAAGGTTATACAATTTTACAGTTAAAGTACTGATTTGATAGGATAATTGTCCATGTCAGGAATTACTAACATTTTTTCTCTAATTTTTAAAATTGTGGTAAGAGACACGTAAAATTTACTGTCATAACCATATTTAAGTGTTTATAGTTCAGTGGTATTAAGTACATTCATATCTGTGCAATCATCACCACCATCTATCTACAGAACTTTTTCATTTTGCAAAATTGAAACTTTGTACCCATTAAATTATAACTTCCCATTCTCCCTGTCATCACACCCTAGCTACTACCCCCATTGTACTTTCTGTCTATGAATTTGACTGGGTACCTCATATAAGTGGAGTCCTACAGTTTTTGTCCTTTTTGTGACTGGATTATTTCACTTAGCATAGTGTCTTTGAAGTTTGCACATGTTGGAGCATGTGCTGGAATTTTCTTCCTTTTTAAGGTTGAATATTACATTATATGTATTGTAAATAACACATTTTGCTTAACATTTATCTGTCAGTGGACTTGGGTTGCTCCTATGTTTTTTGCTGTTGTGGATAATTCTGCTATAAATATGGGTATGCACATACCTCTTGGAGAACCTGCTTTCAACTCTTTTGGGTATATACCCAGAAATGGAATTGCTGGATCATGTGGTAATTCCATTTTTAGTTTTTTGAGGAGTTTATCATTTCATTTTTTAAGAGGTTAAAATGTTGTCTTTTTATAATCTATATTTTTTGTTGATACTAAGATTAAGTATTTTTCTTTTGTTTGTTACATAAACAGTTGGTCCTCATTATCAGCCAATTGTGTATTTGTGAGTTCACCTACTCTTTACAATTTGTGACCCCAAAATCAATATTCTCAGTTATTTGCTTGACATGAGCAGAGTAGCAAAAAATTGGAGTTGCCCGGTGTGCATGTTCCCAACTGAGGTTAAACAGGGTGACAGTGCTTTCTATTTTATTTTGTTTTAGTTTATTTACTTATTTTAAATTTATATCCAAGTTAGCATGTAGTGTAATAATGAATAATGATTTCAGGAGTAGATTCCAGTGATTCATCCCCTATGTATAACACCCAGTGCTCATCCCAACAAGTGTCTTCCTTAATGCCCCTTACCCATTTAGCCCATCCCCCCTCCCACAATCCCTCCAGCAACCGTGTTTGTTCTCTATATTTGAGTCTCTTATGTTTTGATCCCCTCCCTGTTTTTATGTTATTTTTGCTTCCCTTCCCTTCTGTTCATCTTAAATACCTCATATGTGTGAAGTCATATGATAGTTGTCTTTCTCTAATTTCACTTAGCATAATACCCTCTAGTTCCATCCACATAGTTGCAAATGGCAAGACTTCATTCTTTTTGATTGCCATGTGGTACTCCATTGTGTATATATATATGTGTGTGTATATATATATATATATATATACACACATATATATGTGTATATATACACGCATATATTGTATATGTATATATATATATACACATGTGTGTATATATACAGTGTATATATATATATATATATATATATATATCACATCTTCTTTATCCATTCATCCATCAGTGGACATTTGGGCTCTCTCCATACTTTGGCTATTGTTGATAGCATTGCTGTAAACATTGGGGTGCATGTGCCTCTTTGAAACAGCATACCTGTATCCCTTGGATAAATACCTAGTAGTGTTATTGCTGGGTTGTAGGGTAGTTCCATTTTTTATTTTTGAGTAAACTCCATACTATTTTCCAGAGTGGCTGCACCAGTTTGCATTCCCACCAGCAGTGCAAAAGAGATCCTCTTTGCATCCTTGCCAACATCTGATGTTTCCAGAGTTGTTCATTTTTGTTATTCTGACTGGTGTGAGGTGGTATCTCATTGTGGTTTTAATTTGTATTTCCCTGATGATGAGCGATATTGAGCAGTTTTTCATGTGTCTGTTAGTCATCTGGATGTCTTCTTTGAAGAAGTGTTTGTTCATGTCTTTTACCCATTTCTTCACTGGATTATTTGTTTTGAAGTTCTTTATAAATTTGGATACAACCTTATCTGATATGTCGTTTGCAAATATCTTCTCCCATTCTTGCCTCGTTGCCTTTAGTTTTGCTGTTGATTGTTTCTTTATGCATGGAAGTTTTATTTTGATGATTTTGTTTGCCTCTGGAGACATGTTGAATAAGAAGTTGCTACAGTGACACTTTTCTTATTTGGACTCTCATACTGTAAACAAGTCTTTTGTTTTTTTGAAAGAGAGAGAGGGAGAGAGAGAATCCCAAGCAGGCTCTGCACTGTCAGCGCAGAGCCTGATGTAGCACTTGAGCTTGTGAACTATGAGATCATAACCTGAGCCAAAATCCAGAGTTAGGCGCTTAACTGACTGAGCCACCCAGGGGCCCCACAAGTGTCCTTATCATTGTCTATTTTGTGCCACATTTTCCACATTTTTGTTTTTTTGTTGGTGATTTCACTGTCTAAAATTGTCCCCAAGTATATATAGTGCTGAAGGGGTGCCTAGTGATCTTAGGTGCAAGAAGGCTGTAATATGCCCTGCAGAGAAAATATGTGTGTTAGGAAAGTTTCACTCTGCCATGAGTTGCTGCTGGCTCTGATTTCAGTGTTAATGAATCAATAATGTCCACTAAAGAAGTGTCTTTAAATAGATACATACATGAAACGAGATTATGTATTGATTAGTTGACAAATATTTCCCCTGAGAGCAGTGGTTTAGTATTTGCTGGTTCAGTGTTCACAGCAACATTGTAGAACACAACTACTACGATAACAAGACTTGATTGTAACTGTAGTTGTCTCTGTTACCTATGAGAGCACAGATTCCTTGACCCCCTCCTGCTCAGCCTGGTGCCTGGCACTCCGCAGGTCCTTTTATTTTAATGTTTGTTTATTTAGAGAGAGAAAGAGAGAGAGCATGAGCAGGGGAGGAACAGAGAGAGGAGAGACAGAATCCCAAGCAGGCTCCACACAGTCAGCGAAGAGCCAGATGTGGGGCTTGATCTGATGAACCGTGAGATCATGACCTGAGCCAAAATCAAGAGTTGGATGCTTAACTGACCGAGCCACCCAGGCGCCCCTCCCCCCCCACCTCAGGTTCTTAATAAACATCTGAATGAATGTTTACTTACTGGTTGTATTATTTTGTGAACTTATGTTCATTTCTTTTGCCTTAATACTGATTCACTCTTTATGTTTGTCATGTTTATAGGAATATTTTGCATAAAATATGTCTTATTTTCTTACAGGTCTGGGATAAAAGTGAAAATGGGGATTGGCATTGTACTGCTAGTTGGAAGGTTAGTATTTTTAGTGATTTAAAAAAAAAATTGAGATGGTTACTATTTATTTGGTAGCGTCAGTGACTTGCTATTCTTCTTGAGAGAATTATAAAATGTATACTTTTCCTAAAATATTTTGATTTTAACTGCTAAAGTATCAAAAATATACTTCAGAAAATTTGAGAGTAGGGAAACGTACAATTTCATAGCATTCTAACATAACTATTTTTAGTGTTTTAGTATTTATTACTTATCTGTTCTTTTGCATATTTTTAATAGTTGTGATATTTTGTACAGTTTTTATTTTCAGCTTTATTCAGGTAGAATTTTACATACCATTAGAGTCATCAGTTTTAAATGTGTAGTTCAACGAATTTTAGTAAATTTCTATGTACACTTGCATGGCCCTGAAACTTCCCTTGTGACTGTTTGGGGTCAATTCCCATTCTGTACCCAGGCCCTAGGCAACCACTGAAGTGTTTTCTGTCTCTGTAGTTTTACTTTTTCTAGACATTTCATATAAATGGAATTCTACGATATGTAGTTATTTGTGTCTAGCTACTTTCCCTTTTCCTAGAGGTTCATTCATGTTGTGAATTCAGTAGTTTGATCCTTCATACACAATACAATGGCGTTTACTACATTCACAATGTTGGTACAACTACCGCCTTTACCCATTTCCAAAACTATCGCTCTAAAAGAGAAACCTCCATTTCTTGCCTTTTAATTTAACAACATATTTCATAAATATTTTGGTATGTTTTTAAAGCTTGTTTAAAAACATAAATGTAGCAGTAAAACATGAATATACCAATAAATATACCCTGTTTTTGTTCAACTTGTGATAGCTGGTATAAGTTGTTTCCTTTTTATTGTGATGAACATCTCTTTGTAATCTTTAGTTTTTAGGTAGGTTGTGCTTTACTGGCAATGTAATATTTAACAGAGTCTCACTGGTCTAGTGTATTCTTTAACTAGTAACTTATATAAATAATAATTAAAAGTGAAACAAAAAAGACCAGACCAAAAAAAGGATAAAAAATAAGAGTGCAAAGTTTACCTTTGAATGACATATTTACCATGTGGAAATTACATGATTATGAAAGCGTTCTGAGATTATTAAGTGCGAAAGTGTTAGATATAAAGAAGCATGAGACAAATTTTATAAACATAATTGGTGGACTGATGCTTGTTGTTATACTGTATTTTTACTGGAAAGAACAAACGAAATTCTGTCCATGTGAAATTCTTTCTTTCTTTCTTTCTTTCTTTCTTTCTTTCTTTCTTTCTTTCTTTCTTTCTTTCAGAGAGAGAGAGAGAGAGAGAAAGAAAGAAGTGGGACTCACCTGGGCTCGTGTTTTACCTGAAGTGGGGCTCAAGCTCACCTGATGTGGGACTTGAACTCATGAACCATGAGATCATGACCTGAGCCAAACAAAGTCAGATGCTTAATGACTGAGCCACCCAGGCCATAGGTTTTTTTTTGTTGTTGGTTTTTTTTAAGTTTATTTATTTACTTATTTTGAGAGGGCAAGAGAAGAGAGGAGAGGAGAGAGTGGGGGAGGGGTAGAGAGAGAATCTCAGGCAGGTTCCATGCTGTCCTCCCAGCTCCATGTGGGCTTGATCTCATGAACCTCAAGATCCTGACCTGAGCTGAAATTAAGAGTTGGACACTTAAGAGACTGAGCCACCCAGGTGCCCCGATGTGAAATGCTTTGAGACCTTTCTGTTTTTTTCCTTTTGTCAACATGAGAGTTGAAGAATAGTAATTTGACATTTTTCAAATAATACAGGTAACGCTACTGAGCTTTAAATTATTTTTTCAGAATACAAGGATTTGGGCTTCTCTGTATTTTATCACTCGTTGCCTCACTTCCTAGAATAGTCGACTGTCTAGCCAGGTATCAGAGTCATTTAAGCATTTTACTGCTGTAGTTTCTATATACTGTTAGGCTTTTGAAGCAAACAGTTTTGGTTAGTCTTATTTATTTTATTAGATGGCTGTTTCCTGTAGAGAGAATTTGCAAGTAAAAAAAATGGTGGACTGGTAGATCTTTTTTTTAAAGCTTGATAAGGCTAAACTCTGAAGCAGGTCTCTGTTAGTACTGGAAGAGGTCAACTTTATCCAGCTGGATTTTTCTTTATTAGTAAAATGTTAGAAGGACTTGACTCCAGAAGGGCCATAATCCTAAGTAGAGAATATCTTCTAAAAGTTAAAAATTTCCAGAACTTAATTTTTTACTTAAATGTAAAATTGAATAGCATTCTGCTCTTATTGAAGATATCTGTGTTGTTTCCTCAAGTAAAACTTTGTGTGAAATATGAGTAAAGTCAACTTTTTTTTTTTTTTTTTTTTTTTTTTTTTTTTTTAAATAATTCCTCAGACACATAGTGGATCTGTGTGGCGTGTGACATGGGCCCATCCTGAATTTGGACAGGTTTTGGCTTCTTGTTCTTTTGACCGAACAGCTGCTGTGTGGGAAGAAATAGTAGGAGAATCAAATGATAAACTGCGAGGACAGAGTCATTGGGTGAGACATTTGTTGGTTTTGGGGGTTTTGGGGAGGAGGGTGCATGATCTCCAAGGAACATCAGTCTTTCCAAGAACACTTTAGGCACTTGATAAGATGTTATCACTCTTCTCTGTGTTTACCAGTTCTATTTTTCCTCTTCCATGTTTTTCTCTTACTTGTTTATTTAATTTTGTCTTGGGCCTGAAGTGGCACTCAGGAACACTCATGGCATTGTTTAATGATAACTTTCATGATAAATCTGCAGTATTTGCATTGTCCTAGAGTGAGTGTACTCTAAAAATCCATTAAAATATTGTTTTTTCTCCTTTGTGGTTATCTTTGCTTTCTTATAAAATATACTCTTTATCTGGTTCTGCTATTCTCTGCTCTTCCCTGATTGGATGTTTGATTTTAAGAGTCTCATGCTCTACTGACTGAGCTAGCCGGGCATGGATGTTTGATTTTAAATAAGAGTATAATGTGTGTACTAGTCAAGTTCCATGTCTATAAAGTGAGGGAATTGAAGTAGATTACCTTTAAGACCCATTCCAATGTTTTTTCGTTTTTTCTTTTTTTCTTTATTTCTTTAATAGATAATTAGGCACAAGGTATAAATGAATGTATACAGTGACAATTTCCTCCCCTTTAGTGACACAGTTGGCTCCCTAGAGTCAACCACTATTATAAGTTTTTGTGTATTTTTCTGGATATATTCTCTGCCTTTATAAGGACATAAATAACAGTGTTTCCTTCTCTGTTTACCAGTCCTATCCACCTTCCTCTCAACACTAATGCTTGCATGTTATCAACACTACTCTTTTTTTCTGCTGCATATTATAAATTGTGGTAGGATATATGTAACATAATATTTATCATGTTAACTTAAGTGTACAATTCAGTGGCATTAATTGCATTCACAGTGCTGCGTACACATCACCAATATCTGTATATAAACTTAATTTTTCCCAGCATAAGTCAGTACCATTGAATAGTACCTCCTCTTTCCATTCCCCCAACCCCTGGTAACCTCTGTTCTACTTTCTGTCTCTAGGAATTTGACTGCTCTAGGTACCTCATATAAATGGAATCATAGAATATTTGTCCTTCTGTATCTGGCTTGATTCACTAAGCAAAAGGTCCATCCATATTGTTGCAAAGATCAATTTCATTCCTGTTATGGCTGAATAACATTCCATTGTGTGTATATGACACATTTTGCGTATCCATTTATCTGTAGATTGATAGTTGGGTTGTTCCTACCTCTTAGCTATTGTAAAAAATGCTGTAACCAAACTCAAGGGATTTGCCACTTGGGGTGCATCAAATTCAACACAACCCAAGAAAGTGTTGAAAGCAAAAACCTGTTTATTATTTGTTACAAGGAGACAAAGAGGTAGCTCCCAAAGCACTGTCTCCTTGTGGAGTTAGGAAGGTTTTATCCAGTGTATTGGGGACAGGGGCAAGGAGCTTGCATAAACACTTGAGTTGCACATGACTAGGATGTCAACATGCTAGTGTGTACATCAGTGTTCAAAAAATGGTGGAAAACTCTGCCCATAGGAGATCTTAATATAAGGAGCTAAAAGTAGATTCAGGATAACTTGGGGGCTTCTCTGCTTGTCCTCAGGTCTAGTCCAGCTCACACTGGATCACGTAAGGGGCTATCAGTATCAGGTAAGACACCTAGTTGGGTGTCTCCTTGGTTATTGGTTGGTTCCCCAAAACAAAATCTATTCCCTGCTTTTGTCCCTTTCCGTCTTCCCTTCTGCTGATACCTTTCAACCTTTTTACTTGATTAACTTCTTGTTGCATCCTAGCTAGCATTGCTACTATGAAATTTGTTATGTAGATATTTGTCTGAAGTCTTGCCTTTAATATTTTTGAGTATGTGCCTAGGAGTAGAATTGCTGGCTCATATGGTAGTTCTGTGTTTTAACTTTTGGAAACTGCTAAATTATTTTCAGAATGACTGTACCATTTTTCACTCCTACCAACAATGCAGGAGTGTTCCAGTTTTTCCACATCCTTGCCAATGTTTGCTATCTTTTTTATTTTTCCATTATAGCTATCCTAGTGGGTGTGAAATGGCATCTCCTTTTTTTTTTTTTTAATTTTATTTAATTCCAAGTTAGTTAAGATGTAGTCGAATAGTGGTTTCAGGAGTAGAATTTAGTAATTCATCACTTACATGTAGCACCCACTGCTCATCCCAACAAGTGCTCTCCTTAATGCCCATCGCCCATTTAGCCCATCCTCCCATCTACCTCTCCTCCAGCAGCCCTCAGTTTGTTCTATGTATTTAAGAGTCTCTTACATTTGCTTCCTCTGTTTTTATCTTAGTTTTCTTCCCTTTCCCTATGTTCATCTGTTTTGTTTATTAAATTCCATTTTTTTTTTTTGCATTTCCCTAATGGTTAATGATGTTGAACACATTTTTATGTGTTAATTGGTTATTTGTATATCTTCTTGCAATGTCTTGATTTATAAGAAATTTATTTTTCATGTATATTTGGTTTTTCTAACTCAGTTCCTGAGTTACAACTCCCAGAACCCTTGGAATTTCCTAAGTGTACAGAGTGATAAAGGTATCTTTTATTATGTTAATGAGGTGACTTTGGGAAAGTGCCTAAGGTTGGGGGCTGGTTGCCAGTGAAGCCAACCTTGTGATTAGAGGGCTAGAACTTTCTGTGTCACCCCCAGCCTCTGGGGAGGTAAGAGAGGCTGGAAGTTGTATTGCTTGCCATTGGCTAATGTGTTAATCAGTCATGTCCTTGTAATGAATGAAATCTCCATAAAAACCCCAGAGAACATGGTTCAGAGAGTTTTGGGGTTGGTGAACTTGTGGAAATGTGGGGAGAGTGGTTAGCCTGGAGAGGGCATAGAAGCTTCTTACCCTTTCCCCATACCTTGCTCTATGCATCTCTCCCATCAGGCAGTTCCTGAGTTCTATCCTTTGATAATAAATTGGTAATCTATTAAGGGAAATGTCTGAAGTTTGAGAGCCGCTTAGGTGTCCGAAGTGGGGGCAGTCTTGCACGATAGAACTCTTAATCTGTGGAATCTGATGCTGTTTCTGGGTAGATGGAGTCAGAATTGAGTTGAATTCTTGGACAGCTTTACTGCTATCTGAGAATTGTGTGTGTGTGTGTTGGGGGGGGGTTCTCCCCCAACCCCCGAACTGGAATTGTTACCAGAATTCTTTACTTCTTTAGGGAAATGTCTTTTCAAGTCCTTTGACCATTTAAAACAATTTTTTTTTTTTTGCTGTTGAGTGGTATTTCTTTATATTCTGGATATTAATCCCTTTTCAGGCATATGATTTGCAAATATTTTCTCCCATTCTGTGAGTTGCCTTCTCTCTCTCGACAGTCACCTTTGATGTACAAAATGAAGTCCAGTTAAATTTTTTCTTTTGTTTGCTGTGTTTTTGTTTCTTGTGTCATATTCAGGAAATCATTCTCAAGTCCAATGCCATAAAGACTTTCCCCAAAGTTTTGTTTTTTTTTTTTTT